ATGTCATATGACCTCCAATTTGTTGTTAAGGACAGTGGTACTCCAGTTCTTTCTGCAACAACCACTATATTTTTGATTCTGACAGTAAGCAATGAGACAATAGAAGGAACAAATGCAGTACACCTAAAATCTCGCAGTAAAATTCACCTCCATTTACTAATTGTAATTGTCCTAGTAGCAGTGACCGTGTCCATACCAGTCACTGCAGCTATTTCTATATCTTTCATTCACTGTAAATCATGCCGATCCACTACATACAGAGAAACAGCAAAGCCATCTCGGGCATCTGTTAGTGAGCAGAAAGAGTTGATGCGTCCATCTTGTGAAGAGGCCTTTTGGTTAAATGCCCACACAGACAGAGCTGCAGAATCAGAGATAGTTTGTAATCCCCGCCTTGCAAAATCCCGAAGAAGGCCATTCCAAGGCGATAAGCTAAGCAAGATTCAGAAAAGGTCAACACTTGGTGTGAAGCTTCCAACTAAAAAGGATATTGTCTACCAGGTAAGTACATGATTGTTAATATTTTGTTGCCAATTTATCTAATTTGTGATCCTTCTTTTAATAATATAAAATAAAATGCTTTGTAATTGTAATATTAGCCATTTCCTTATGAGGAAATGTTTAGCATTCATTGAACAAGTCAAAGTCATACTCTTGGTTGCAATTTATAAAATCTTTCTCATAAAACAGTTTTTCAAGAAAATAGGTTTCTCAAGTCCAGAAGCTATAACTGCACTTTCCAGCACTGACAGTTTCCTTCCTAACCTTTCATTTGAAGTAGTGTGGAATGTCAACTTCATGATTATGCCATTATTTTCTCTTCAAGTTACATGTATAATTATGTACATATATTATTATCTATTATAATACATAAAATACTTTCTTTGTTTTCTTGTTTCTATATAACTACAGAATACAGCTTGTTATAAAATTATTTCCAACACTTTATTATAAGCAAGAAAAATAACAAGAACTATTATGATGAGCTTATTATAAACACCAGAAATAATAACAGCTATGTGTTTTGTTACTATGGTACAGCACTGCCATTATCTGTATTTCTGAGATGAGGTATTATGTACATTATTTACATTATTTGGACTATTGTCCTCATCTTTGTCGCCATATTTATTACAGCGTTTCGGCCGTTGTACACTTGGGCCTTCTTCGGGTGGTTGGAACCAACCACCCAAAGAAGGCCTGAGCATACAACGGCCGAAACATTGTAATAAATATGGCGACAAAGATGAGGACAATAGTCTGAATAATGTAAATAATGTAGCACTGCCATTATTTTATTTTCCTCTCATTTGCCCTCTTTTTAATTTAGTTACATTGTAGATTAGTCATTGCTTTGACCACCCCTTGTTTACTACTTAGTAATTACCAGAACTAACACAATAAGCCACAAGAACAAGGCACATGGTTCCTGCTTTCTTATCCCCCTATTTTCTGCCCCGAGAAGATAAAATCGCTGTTTCACTGTACTGCCTCCCGATACCTATCAGTCTTATAGACACATAGATGAACACCTTTTGGCTTTCATTAAAAACCTGCTCATAAGTTTGACTTCCGAGTTTTGATGGCCATAAGGCATTTATCTCGCTGTCTGAAGTACACATACACAAGATAGATGTGTATCTGGAGGCAATACTTGTAGCATAGTGATTATTAGCGCAACAATCTGTAATATATTTCAGCTTTAAATAACCTCAAAAGGGTTTATTAGCTCTAAAAAAAACGTTGTACAGAAAGTGGGATTTGTTTGTAAAGTTCAAATTCCAGCCAGGTCTGTTGCACTTGCTTCTGCATCAATAGACTTAGAAAGGTATGAATACATCCCCTTAGCTAAGAGTTAATAGCAGTGCAGACTGAACTCTCTAGCTTTGGTTGTCAGCCAGTCTAGGAAAAGAACTACTATCAATTCAAAACCTGACAACTCCACCCCCTAAAAACCCAATTTGTTTGGAAACCAGAACAGCAACACCTAGAAAGATGAGCTTGTGGATACTCTACAATGTTAACATATCTACACCTATATCTACATATACATGATATGTATTTATATATTTTTGGACTGTAACTGTTGATGCTACCAAAATTATTTCCCTTGCTATCAAGATGCCAGGTAGCAGTTTTTGTTTTTTTTGCTATAACAAAAGCAGACTGTTCCCGGATGGAAGCTGGCAAGTGAAAATGCTGACCATATCATAAAACAGAGTACAGAATAACCAGAAAAATATACAAGGCTGGGCTGAAAAGTTCATAGGCTGAGTATGAAGTAGTGATGCTAGAGCTGTCACACTTTACGAGCATTCATTTGAACTCTTCTTATTAATAACTGCATTGTTTCCTTTCAGGTAAAATGACTTCTGACTGTTCAATTAAGACTTCAAAAGCAAGTAGTTTTCTCTTGAAAATGGATAAAATTTGGCGTTGTATTGTTATCAAGTACCCGCAGAAAAAGGATTTAGCCCCGAGGGATATTCATGCTGATAGGGTTGTTACATTAGGGGCCAGTTTTATCAACAGTATGAAAGTGGGCTGTTGAATTTAGAATTGGAAGGTAGAATCTTGAAGATGACTCAAAGTCTGGAAGTCCTGCAAATGTTATCAATGAGGAAAACATTGACTGTGTTCACCACATGGTAATGGATGACAAGTGATTGACTATAAATCAAATTCCCAATGCTATTAACATATCCTGTGAGAGAGTTGAGAATAGTCCACACATTTGACTTGGCATGACAAATGTTTCTGCTCAGTGGGTGCTAGGTCTTCTGATACCTGATCAAGAGTGCACCAAGTTTATCACATTACAGGAAAATAGCAGATCCAGCTGGTTTTCTTGAATGTTTCCTAACACAGGATGAGTGTTTGGTTGATCATTTTCAGCCAAAAACAAAAAGATAATCAATACAATGGAAAAAAACCCCTCTTCACATGCTCAAAAGAAGGCTAAGTTTGTTTCATCTGCAGGGAAGATGATGGTCTCATGATGCAAAAGGTATTTTTTCTATTGATTATCTTCAAAAGGGCCACACCATCAATGACGTTTACTGCTGAGGCAGTTATGAAAGGCTATCAAGAATAAACGTCTAGGAAAACTGACAAAAGTGGTCTTGTTTCATCAGGACAATGTTCCAGCACATGAGTCCTTGATTTCAATGGCTGCTTGCATGAACTGTGGCTTTGATCACTACCCCTATTCTCCCAATTTGTCTTTCATCTGTCCTCCAACATGAAAAAACACTTGGCTGGGAACCGGTGTCACATGAATGAAGACGTCATATCTGTTGTTGATGACTTTTTTGACCAACAGGATGAACAGTCTTCTTTGAACAATCAGATGTCAGTTTACAGAGAAAGAAACAATGTATTTATTAATAAGAATAGCTGAAATTAATGCATGCAAAATATCACAGATCTAGCATCACACCTTCATAGTCAGCCCACCCTCATATTTAAAGACTCACATTGGAGAAAAAAAAATCTAATAATAGTAAGAAGTGAATAAAATATATAGACATTTTTTTACATGGATAAACAAGATTTAATATAAGATTTACTGGCCATAATGTAAGGGATCATTTTATATTATTATTAAGTAATAACCTGATCCCCCAGAATTACTACATATGTATATTACAATTGGGGAAAATACATTTAAAGACTCATGGAAAACCTAATAACAAAATAGCTCATCATTTTTAATGGTATGAGTAAACTAATATTAATACAAGATTCTAATGTGCATAAAGTCAGGGATCATTTTATATTTAAAAACTTGTATGTCAAAGAAAAAAGCCTAATAATGTTAAGGATTTAATATCAGGATATCATTTTCATGTCATGAGTAAACCAGAATTAATTTAACATTCTTATTGGATATAAAGTGAGGGATTGGGTTTATATTGTTGTTAAGTAATAATCTGACCCCCATAAAAACTATATGTTAATATAATTTTTTTAAGCAGTTTTATTCAGTGATCTATCTGTTGGAAGATAAGTTTGATGCCATTAAAGATTTAGACATTTACTTTATGAAAGTTATTAATATATTTTCCCAGTTTTTTATATTGAATTAAAAGTAAATCTCATTTTTAGAATGGCTTGAAAGTTAAGAAATTTATATTGTCTTTTCTGAAATGAATCCAAGACAAATTCTCATTAGCAACTTTTGACTTGAACTAAGAATTATAAAGAAAAGATGCAGAATAAATATTAACGTTTTTTATTTTTTTAAGTCACTCATTTTTTTCTTCTTTATCCCCAAAAACACTAATTTAGGGTAACAGTACTATGATTCATTGTTTAAGCATACACACAAATACACATTTCTTTCTTTCGTTTTTTGGATCTGATGAAGCCAAGAAAGGCAAAACACTTAATCAAATCTAGTTCCAATGAAATGTTTTCTATTTGTGAAATTTCTTAAAAACTTCGCTGGAATTCTATATCCTATTTTAAATGTGGAATGCATTTTTTTTTGGTCTATAAGGTCTGTAACTGGATTATTGTTATCTCCTTGACACTGGGTATGCCCAAGTGGCAGTGTCTTTGTTATGACATTGATAGGCTGTTCTAAGATATTTATGAAGCTAGGAATTAAGGACCAACCCTGTAAAACAGCAGTATGCAGTAATAATAACTGGAAAATATATTTAAAGACTCAAAAAAAAACATCTAAAATCAAACCAGTGTTAATATTAGATTCTACTGGACATAAAGTGAGAGATCGGTTTTATATTTTTATTAAGAAATAAACTGATCCTCTTTAATTACTACATATTAATATAATGCTTTTGTTATGTACATTTCTATTTAGTTTTTTATGTTGGAAGATGAATTAGATGCCATTATAGAATCAAACATTTGATACTTCTGCAACTCATTTAATATTGAATACTTTGTTTTTTGTTTGTAACTTATTACTTTATTAGTGTTATCTCTCTTGCCCTGGCTATGCCAGTTGGCAATGTCTTTGTTATACAAGAGCTTATGGCCACATCATGTTGAAATACCACTTCCCACATACGATCATGGAAGTTAAGCATCATCAAGTTTGGTCAGTATCTAGATGGGTCACCACTTGGGAATACCAGGTGCTGTAAGCGTGGATATGCAAGTGGTGTAATTGAAAATCGCTTGCAATTGTTAAGTGGAGACTGAGTTCCATTTCCTGATGGGTTCGTTATATTCACTTACATGCAAATATCCTTGGGAAAGATGTGAATCCATCTCTTCTCGCTCCAGTTATAGGTTAATTTAAAGACTTGTATCACTAAAACATTATTATCCCCCCCCAAAAAAACATTCTTGCAATCTAAAAATATTTTCTGGCTTTTAATAACCTGCAAAGGGTTAATAAGCTGTAGAAAATGAATCTATCAATTGTTATAACAATAGCAGACTGTTCCAAGACGTTTATGAAGTCGAGAGGTGAAAATACCAATCCTGGGAATAAGCCTAGTACAATACCAATTCCAGTTGGGTTTGTTATATTTACTTACATAAATACCCTTGGGAAAGCTATGAATCCACCTCTTCACTCCCCTAACTATTGGTTATTTAGTAGAACTTGTATCACTAAAAATCGTTATTATTTCCAAAAGATTTTTACACTCTAATAATATTTTCTGATTTTAAATAACCTGCGAATAGTTGATAAGCTGTAAAAAACAAATCAATCACTGTAAACATATGAGGTGCTTATGAAAATACCTTAAATTGTCCAACTTTGCAAAATCTGTCTAAATAACTAAATATCAATTTTTTTTTTTATTTTGAAAGAGCTTCTGGTTGGGCCAATAATCTTTCAGCAGCCCCTCATAGAAGGAATTTAATGATTCAAAAATTAAAGTTCTTTCTATCAGTCTTTAAATAAAAGGATTCTATCAATGTCACACTGTAACTGCCAATTTTGTTAAAGCTAATCTTTCTAATTTAACTTTGTTTTTGAATGGCTGGTTTTCCTTGATACATTTTGCTGGGAATGGCTGCAAAATTCTTTCTCCTCCCCAATTTATAGGCAGAAGCACACAAATGCATGCTGGGATTTCTTGTTAGCCAATAAGATAGGTCACTTGTTGGTGTCATATGACTTAGTGCCAGTCTTGTTTTGTCTTGATGTCGGAATGCTACATTTGCTTATCTAAATTTGCTCATGTGTCTCAACCCCAATTCTTAGTTTGTGAACTTTTTACCATATTACTGTTGCTTGTCTTATTACTGTTAATTTGCCTTGCATATATTGTTTGCTTTGCTTTATATTTTTTTTTCCCCTATTCTTTTTATTGTTGTTTATTGCTAACTTTGTCAATTCTGTTTACTAGGCAGTTCTGCCATTTATTTTACATTTAACAATGGCCACTTTGTCAATTAGATTTATTTTAATTTAAAGTATCTGCCCAATGTAGATATAAATATTCAGTAACCAATTTTTAGCACTTTACTTAATGCATGTTATAAATTTTGGAAGGACTTACCAACATGCATTGAAGAAATCAGAGCAATTATATAGATGTGTTTAATACTGAGAATTAATTAAAAATAAAAATGACTTAAAGGTTTTAAATGTAATGCCATAAAGTTCCAAACTTAGTTACAATACAGCATAGTATTCTAAAGTTTCTTTGAAGATTGGCTAAATTTACACTAGACTTTCGATTGAAAATAATAAAAGAACTTTATGATTAACGTCAGAGCATTTGAGATAGTTGCATAAAGCACAAAAAAATAAGACCGTGCCAATCAATTTTTTTTTATTTGATCTTATTGTTAATCAGACATTTTAAAGTGTGTTCATTTCTTGTCTAGATTATTTCAGCTAGTCATGACAATTGTCGAATAATTGAGCATGGTTGAACATAATTGGCAGAAATAACCAACAAACAGAATTGACAACGTTTGCAATAACAAAAGAAAGAAAAGAACAGGCCAAAAATAATAATAATAATAAGCAAATAATATATGCAAGACAAAAACACGCAAAGCTAGGGTAATAAGGAAAAACATTCACAAACTAAAAATGTTGTTACCATACAAAAGGGATACAGATAAGTGATCACAGTGTTCTGATATCAAGACAAGAAAGAACAATAACATGGCAAATAGAACTGAGAAATAGTCTATCTTATTTGGTTAGGAAAAAGTTACAGCATGCATTTGTCTATAAATTTGGAGATGGGGATGTTTTTGCAATCATTCCAATACAGATTGGAAGGAACAAAAACAGTCTTTTCCTTGTTAAAGTTTCATTTCTCACCATTGATTTGCTTTTATTAACTTTAGAATTTTCATTCATCCTACATTTCTTGATGAATTCAAACAAAACTTAAGTAAAATAATACTAAGAACAAAAAAAAAAAATTAATAAACCTATGCTTTTGGTTATTGACAAAACATCAATTAGTTCTAGCACAAGATGACAATTATGACTATAGCAAAGAAAACAGCAACTTACCTCATCAAACCAAGCGACAGCATGTCGCGTGTATTCTACAACGGAAAATGTGGCAAAAAAGAAAATTACTTACCAAACAAAAGTGCACATTTCCGCATGACATGTTGAAGATGGAATATTTGAATTAAAAAGAGTCGCTATAAAAGTATTTTGATATGCAAAATACTAAACATCCTCTCCCAGCTGTCAACGGATGGAAAAAATGCTCGGCCAATAAAAACAGTTGGTGTTCTAGAATCAGGGAGAAAAACGTTGGTTATTTTGGTTGCCATGTTTGTTGGAGAGTGAGTTATTTTTCTGACTAGTTGCGTGCATTGTGATTTGTGAAATACTACTAGTGAATCGAGTTTTTGGCATTTTCTTTCTGTCCCCGATGTTCGAGTCTGAACTTAGTGATTTATTCTCTGTGACTTGGAAATAATCTGCGACAAACATTTCCTTTGCAATCCCAGATCGCTTACAATGACGCACTTGGTCAAGGTCAAACTTATACTTTTATTTATTTGCAAATATTGTTTAGTTTTGTTAAGTAAACAGGCATTTGGTACAAGTTTGCAAGTATGTAGCACCTAGTGACAACCAAAAACTTATAGTTGTTTACAAAGCATAGTTTAGCTTCAGCACAGATCAATAGGTGTGAGGCACTTAGTGAAAAACAAATGTATAATTTTAGTTATTTACAAAGAATAGTTTAGCTTTTTTTTTTTAAGCGTTTCACCCCAAGCAAGGCGGGAAGCCACTAGGATGCAAGGGGTTACAGAAGATTTGGAGCAAGATCAGATAGGAGTGATAGAGGAAAGGATGAGGAGAAGGATAGTGGACAGATCAAGGCAACTGGAGATGTCAATTGACATTACATTTGAATAGTTGGAGATTATAGCTCTCAGGGAAACTGGAGTAGGGAAGGGAGTTCCACAGGCGAGAGGTGTGAGATATGAAGCTATTGGAGTAGAAGAGACGGCTACATTTAATAGTTTCGACAGTGAAAGGGTGAGAGTGGGATGCCAGCCTCGTAAGGCGCTTGAATTCATGAAGTGTGGGAACCAGTGAATGCAGCTCCTCAGAGCAATTACCATGAAATTATTTGTAAAAAAGACAGAGAGGCGACGACATGTCTGTGGGAGAGTGACTGTAGATGAGATGCCAGAACAGTGCCAGTTACATTGCATATCCACCTCTGGATCTTATCAAGAACCCCGAGGCAAACAGAAGGGGCTCCAGACCATATATGGCAGCAATCTTTGGCACAAGTCGACAGGTATGAGGCATCTAGTGGGAACCAAATGTATAATTGTAGTTATTTACAAAGTATAATTTAGCTTTAGCACCAGACCACATGTGGCACCCAGTGAGAACCAAACTTATAATTTTAGATATTTATAAAGAGTGGTTTACTTTTGGCACAAGATCATAAGTATAAGGACTGAAACCTATAATTTCAAATGAAATTTGTGGAATTTATTTGATTGTCTTTAACCTTCCCTTATTTTATATAAGGAATTTTGTTTTGTTTGCTATAATTCTACCAATTTTCTTTTCTTCTAAATTTTAGGAAATTATTGCTGAAGAAAATGAACAGAGGAATTTCATGTTCCCTGACTGTGAGAGTGACAGCGATGATGGGTGGAGCGAGGATGGTTCTGGGGACATCAAGCAAGATTCAGGTAATTAAAAACTATATATATATATATATCTTCTTTGAAGGATGAGAATTAAATATAAAAACTTGTTTGAAATTCTTTCTTTTTTTTTTTTAAATAAAACATCAAAATCTTTAATCTATGGGCAGTGGAAATATTGGGTTAGTCAAAAAGTTGCTAAGCTTATTAGGTAGAAAATTTACTTAATGAACTGAACAAACTTTTTAGCTGATCCAGTATCAGGTTGAGAGTGGAGCAATTAGTCATGGTTACATGTATAAGTGTAATTGGCAAAAATGCTCAACAAATGGAATTGACATAGTTTCCAATAAACAGTGGGAAAGAAAAAAAAAGAACAAGGGAAAATAATACCTAGCATGTAGGAATGTTTCCAGGTTGCATGTGTAAGTGTCTAGGCTCAGTAGTGAGAGTAGAATGAACAAAACCCAAGGCTGACAATAACTGTTCAACAGCTTTTATTTCTTATTGAAAGAGAGTGCAAAATAGTAGTAATTTATGGGGGAATAAAAGTGTGGTTTTCCAGTTAACAAAGTTCTTGAATAGATATTTTGTTGAAAGAGATTTCACCACTAGTTCCCATAGAAGGAACATGAAATCTGAGTGTGAAACTGCTAGGACAGACCTCGTTTTCTGTAGCAAGAATTGCATGTAGTTTTTCCTTTAAGTGGGTATCTTGATTTCTCTGCCTTTTCTGAAGGAACAAGAAATCTGAGGTTAAGATACCAGGACAGGTGTTGTTGTCTTCTGCAACAAGGGCTGAATAGCCCTTTGAGCTAGGCTTGAAGGTTGCGGTTGCTGAAAATGAAAAGTGGGAAAGAGCAGTCCTTGTAGGTAGAGGCCACTGAAAATGAAGATGGAAAAAGAACCAAATAGAGCTCTGTCAGTGTTTTTATGATTTCTGAGACTTCTGGTTATACCCTGCTGATTACTTCCATTGCTGCTACTGCTGAATCAAGCAAAGTAAGGAAACACCCACATGCCACAATAATCAACAAGTGAAATAGTTTCTATAAGCAAACAATATATATGCAAGACAAAACTAGGCAAATCAGTAGTAATAAGGCAAAAAGTTCACAAAATAAGAATGGTGTCACCAAACAAAAGGGATACAGTTGAGTGATTGCAACATTCTGGCATCAAGACAAGAATGAACAAAAATATGTTGGATGAGACTGAGAAATCCCAGAATGCAATTGTAGGATTTGTCTATAAATTTGGGAAGAGCAATGTTTTTAGTTGTCATTCCTTTAGATTGAAACCATCATGGAGTCATAAGTAATTTTTTTTTTGTGAGCCAATTGTAATAAGAAAAATATCATTCAGACTACTAATTATATGTGGAATTAATTTAAGAATTAATTTGGAGTACCCTAACACTCCTTAGTATGCAGTGGCATAGTACACAGTTGATTAAAGAATAAATTTCTTAACTCCACCAATAGAGGGATTGGATGTGTACTTGCATCACATAATATTGTGGAAGTTTAATCAAGAGAATAATGCTATGGAAACTTCTAGAAAAATATACAATATTTATGGTAATTTTCTAAGAAAATGGATTTTTATTTATCAATCCGACAGATTTTTATCACTTTAAATAATATTTTTAATGTATACACATATTTGAATAGATGCTCCATTTATTTTTATCTGCAAGCGTGAATATTTGAGAAATCTTATTAAAGAAAAACATGCACTCTCCAGCAGGATTCAGCCATTGTGAGGTCCAACATACGTTAACTGACTCAGCCATGGAGTATTTAATACGAGAAGGATTTTGCTGAAAGCACATTTCAGACTTTGCTTGATCAGAAAGGCTGCTTCTTGGTTGAGTTGGTTAAGGCATGTTGGATCTAATGGCAGTTTCCCTCTGCTCAAAAGAACACAGGTTTGAATCTTGCTGAAGAGAACATATTTTTCTTTAATAAGATTTCTTGAATATTCAAGCCAATAGACAAAAATAAATAAATATACTGTTTAATAAATAAATGGAGCATCTAGTCAAATATGATTATCATCTAAAAATATTGTGTATGGTCAAGGAGCAATAACTGACCAGCAACTACAAAATTGGTTTGCATAATTTCCTTCTGGAGAAACATGGAAGATGAACCCAGATATGGGAATTTATTGGATTTTGATGATGAGGCTCTAAAGTTGTTAGTAGAAATTAATCCATGGCAATCCATGGCAAAGCACAAAATAACAACTTATTGATAAATTTTTACAGTCCTATTCAGCAACATCTGCAATACAAATTTTCTTGCATTCATTTTTTAGATATTGAAAGATCATTTTTAAAAAATGACTGATAGAATTTTGAACATAGTTTCCATGCTATGATCATATCAGAAAATTATATTTATGGGCATTGGAACACCAGTTCCTGTATGATCGCCAAAGTTAAGCAATGTTGAGCCTGGTCAGTAGCTAGATGAGTGAGCACTTGGGAATATCAAGTGCTGTAAGCTTGGATGCGCGGGTGGTGTAATGGATAATGGCTCAGAGTTGTTAATTGGAGAGCTGAGTTTCAATTTCAGTTTGGTTCATTATATTCACTTACACACAAATACCCTTGCGAAAGGTATGATTCTACCTCTTCTCCCTGCCTGGTATGGGTTAATTAGTAAGACTTATATCACAATCATTATTATCTAAAAAAAAAATATTTATAATTTAAAAATATTTTCTGGCTTTACATAACCTGCAAAGTGTTGATAAGTCGTAAAAAACAAATGAATAAATCAATCAAAATAATTATGGAACAAGTGTTATTTTGGGTAAGAATTATTAGTACACAATGTCTGATCACATATTTTTTTTCTTACTAATGTTCACCTAATATAAGACCACTCAAGTAGAGTATATTCCCATGATTTCCATGTATTGATTAATTGACAGTAAATGAACCACTGCAAAATAAACTCATTCCCTTTTCGACCTGAGAGTCAGTATTTTATTTTATTTTGTGCATCGACTCATTCATAAACTTGCCACTTGTTCCTACATAAGCCTTTCACAGACTTCAATGACATTTTTTTTTTTAGAAAAAGTCCATCTGGCCTGAAGTGAGATAGTAAATTAGTTTTGAAAAAGGCTGGCAACCTTCAATTTTTCAGGGATTTTTCAAAATCCAGAAAATGGCCCAAACTTTTTGTCTATATTGTATGCATGTTTGTATGTGTGTATAATGTATATTTCTTCTTTTTAACTCTTCATTTTAATATATCTATTATTGCTACAATAATATGAAAAAAATTTGTCAATGATATTTAAGTAACCAAACTACTAACTTAAGTAAGCATCATAAACATTTAAGTTGAATGAATTTAATTGGTTAATTTCATTATTATTATTATTGAATATATGATAAAACCTTTCAGGAAAAGAAAGTCCCTCTGGTTCGAAGTGAGTTTGTAAATTAGTTTTGAAAAAAGCACACAACCTTCAATTTTTAGATAATTTTTCAAAATCCAGAAAGTGACCAATAAACTTTTGGCCAATAGTGTATATTATAGATAAATAATTTGTATAATAAGTACAAACTATAATAAACTTAATAATAAGTACAAACTATAATGAACTTAATAATAAGTACAAACTATAATGAACTTAATAATAAGTACAAACTATAATGAACTTAAATAATAAGTACAAACTATAATGAACTTAAATAATAAGATATAGTGTGATAAAAACAAATATATTTAGAGAAACAATTCATCACAAAAAAGAGGGTGAACAAAAAATATATATTAGTGGAAATTGGTAATGTTGAAATATAAAACAAGAACAGTTAAACAGATTCTTTTTTTTTAAGTCACTGTGAACATTATTTCATCCTCAATTTTTGTTCTGATGTGAAAGAACTGATAAACCGGTTTAGCTGTTTTTAATCATTATATTTTGGTATTATCAATTCACAGTAATATATCATTTTTGTTACTCCTCTTTTTTGTTATAAACTGTTTCTTTTTTTCTTATGACTGTCCTTTTAATATGCCTGTTTTTATTGGTCTAATAAGAATTCTCCTAAAAGCTATAGCTCATTTCAAATTTAAAAGCAATGTCAATCATTATCTTTTGTCTTCTTAGTTCCTGTTCTTTTGTCATTTTCACTCCTTAATTGTTTTCTTTTTTTTCATATTCTAACACCCTGAAACTTAGTGGCTTTTTAGTGATTTTTCAAAATCCAGAAAGTGGCCCCAAACTTTCGGTCTATAGTGTATATTATAGTAAATAATTTGTATATAAGCATTGAGTTGTTATCTTCTTAATTCATGTTCTTTTAGTGTTCTCTCTCCTTAATAATATTTTTTCTCATATTCTTTTACACTTAACCCCTTACGTTTTAGTGGCTTTATTGCCTTGCTTCGAGTTAAATGAACTGAAAATAAAAAAAAAACCCAGCAAACCATATTATTTATTGTTTTTTATATGTTCATTTTTTTCTGTTTTACTAATATTAATTCATGAAAGTTAGGTTTTTTAATTATTTATGATTCAGCTGAAGTTAACTATGACAGATATGAGTATTATCAATTTTGGATAAGTTTCTTATTGAATAAGTGTAATAAAATAATATGTATAGATTTACAAAATATCAAATGTGATGAGTTGTCTGTTTTACACTACACATAACTCTTCTTTCTTTATACTGAAAGAGGTTAGAAAGTATTTTCTTTTACAATTCATTATTCTCAATGGAAATAAGAAATGCTTTGTGGAAGTAGACAATAGACAACATAGCAGTCAATTCGACTTCTTTGTGCGTGTATGCCCAGGAGCTTACACGGCATCACTGGAGGAAGATTGGAAATTACTGATCAAAATGCACAATAAAAAATGCAGATTTGTCTAAAAAAACAAAGCAACGTGAATTCAAATTAAATCTTGTTATATAAATGCAGATATTTTAAAGATAATGAATTTTGCAACAATATGTTACTGACTAAAAGAATAAAAAAATTTTTTTCTTGTAAATAAAAAAAAATTATTTTCAGGAATGTATTTGATAATTTAATTTTTTTTTATTTAAAAGAAAAAATTCTTTATTCTTTTATTGATGTAAAATGCTTTTTTTTTTTTTTTTAAAAAAAAAAACAAACTTGATATCTGCAAAAAAATTGTAACTTAGCACTGAAAGTGTTAATCTCTTACTCATGAGTGGCAGCACCTTAGAAGCCTCATCGAGGCGCTGTGTCTGGCAGAAAAGAAAGAATTTTTATCACAAATATTATCCCATCATTCAGAAGCACTGCCCTGAGCCATGTTTGAAATTCCAGAAGAAATTACTCAAGTAGAGTGCATTCCCATGATTTCCAAGTATTGATCAATTGACAATAAATGAAGCACTGTAAAATAAACTCATTCCCTTTTCGACTTGACAGTCAGTATTTTATTTTGTGCTTCGACTCATTCATAAGCTTGCCACTTGTTCCTACATAAGCCTTTTGCAGACTTCAATGACATTTTTTTTTTTATCAAAATCCAATTTTGTTCTCTAAAGATTTTTTTTAAATTCTTGGGAATTTTGTTTTAGACAAGTCACTATTCCTTGCTTTTTTTTGGACAAAATCTCTTAGACCTTTTTTTTTCTCCTTATTCTTTCTTCATATCAGTTTCTAATGCTTGACAGTATATTTACTTTCTCTATTTTTTAATTATATTTTTTTGTTTCTTATCTGGGAAGTGCTTTAATAGAGGATGGAAAGTGCGAAAAAAATTGCATTGGCATAGTGAAAGATGTCTTTGAAAAGTTAAGCAAAGTATTAAGAAACAGAAAAAATTAATTAGAAACAAAGAAAAGCATACTGAACTGTTATGAAATAGCTTTTCTCCAATATAGTAGTGGATGCTACAGATGAAGAAGAGACTTGAAGCAACAAAAATGTAGTTCTACAGAAGGATGCTGAGAATACCATAGACCGAACACATGAGCAATGACAAAGTTTTAGAGAAAATTTGTTAGGAAGAGAGAGTTAAAATTTCTAGGGTATATAATGAGCACAGAAGGCTTGGAAAATTTGATACTCACTGAAGAGATTTAAGGCGAGAGTGAACAGAGGAAAACAACGCTTAACCTACTTAGTAAGCATGAGTAAATAAAGGCAGAACAGGTTTTAGAAGAGATAACAAAAGAACAAAATTTATTAAGGGCTACAAAGTACAGGAAATTGTGGAGAGCCATGATCGCCAATGTCCTGAAGGAGCACGAAGAGAGAAGAAAAATAGGTTCAGTTTGCATCTCCTATTTGTATCGTAGTTAGAATAAACATTACATCACTACAATTCTGTGATTATTGATTTTCTGGGCTTGATCAGATCCTGTACTAAAGCTAATTATATTACTTTGCAATCCTTTGAACAAAAAATATCTATCTTTATATATGCATATACAAGGAGAATCAATAAGTCAGTAACCAAATGCAGACATATTAGCTGAATATTGATATGAAATTCTTATTGTATGATTATTGATCTTTGGATTAATATTCACCACAGAATTAAGTACATAAACAAGAAAGGAGATTATGTTGAAAAGCAATCATTTGTATAAAATAAATGCCTTTTTGTTCCATTATACTGCGACTTAGTTATATATATGTGTGTGTAGATGTTTATTTTATTATATGTAGTTCATCTTTATCCAGTTATTCCTCCTCTGTTTGTGTGTGTATATTATATATATATGTACACATGCATCTGCATTCATTTTGCAATCAGCATCCTCACTTGATAAGACACCAGTAGTGCTGAAACAAAATTGCAATTTTTGTAGTGATGTTATAACATGCATATGTTATGATTCTGAATATATATATATATATATATATATATATATATATATAAGGAAGAGGTTATAGTAGTTCCAATGAGAGAAAAGTGTGTATATTAAAAAGAAGAGAGAAGCTGCAAACATTTTTGATTGTAATGTGGATTTTTAAAAAATTATTATGTTTTATTTTCCATAATTTTGCTTTACTTTATTTTATAAAATATTTTTATTTTATTTTATTTTGCTTTATTTATGTTTTTATTTTACATAATTTTATGGAAAATAAAACGTAAAAATTTTTTTAAAATCCACATGACAACCAAAAACATTTGCGGCTTCTCTCTTGTTTTTATATATATATATATATATTATATATATATATATATATATATATATGTGTGTGTGTTTGGGTGAGTTCTCATTGGTCAGTTACATGTCACATGTATTAAATCTGGGGATAATTCTATGTATATGCAGGATTGTGAAGATTTTGTATGTTTCAGTGGGCAACGAGTGGTAATATGTATTTGTAATTGTGGGTGTTTCTCTAGTAGGGATTTTTTTTTATCTTCTCCTTTGTTCATACATGCAGGCTTTTAGATCACATGATGTCTCCCCCGCATAAACCTTTTTGCATTGTAAACAATTTATTTGATAAATCCCAGCATTTGAATCGGTATTGGGTTTATTT